GCCCAGTGAGTGGATGTTTTGGCCCAGTGAGTGGATGTTTTGGCCCACTGAGTGGATGTTTTGGCCCAGTGAGTGGATGTTTTGGCCCAGTGAGTGGATGTTTTGGCCCAGTGAGTGGATGTTTTGGCCCAGTGAGTGGATGTTTTGGCCCAGTGAGTGGATGTTTTGGCCCACTGAGTGGATGTTTTGGCCCAGTGAGTGGGTGTTTTGGCCCAGTGAGTGGATGGTTTGGCCCAGTGAGTGGATGTTTTGGTCCAGTGAGTGGATTTTTTGGCCCAGTGAGTGGATGTTTTGGCCCAGTGAGTGAATGTTTTGGCCCAGTGAGTGGATGTTTTGGCCCAGTGAGTGGATGTTTTGGCCCAGTGAGTGGATGTTTTGGCCCAGTGGATGTTTTGGCCCAGTGAGTGGATGTTTTGGCCACCCCGACTTCCTCCAAGCTCAACACCCCTGTGTAACTCCTGGTGAGAACACCTTCCAATCTGATGGATTGTTTGGGATAGGATTGGAGGACCGCTCCTCAATCATTTGGCAGTGAAGGATGAGAAAACAAACATATGGTGGAACCATGGCGAGAGATGGTGAGAGAGGGTGGTGAAGGATCAATGACCAGACCCATCCTTCAGCAAAAGGTGTGCAACTCCGGGGCCAGGTCCTTCGGTTTCACGTGGGATGGCGATGTTCTGCACTGCGGGATATGCGGAAGTGAACCTTCACCGGTAGAAAGTGGTGCCCTATCCCAGGCACCATGCCATCCACGCGAACTCTTCGGATTCACGTGGTGCCCTCTCCGGATTACACTGCATGTCTTGGTGGTCAATGTGTGACAAGGCCTGGAAACCAAAATCGGGAAAGCCGCGAGACTCTATATAGCACCAAAGGTCGCCAGAGTGGGCATGGAGCACTTCCAATGAACACTCATGGCCACTGGGAGCCGTGCTTGGCGAACTGAACTAGTTGTCTTCCCCGCAGGCGTATTGAAAAGAAACCTAGCATTCGGCAAATGCTGCGATAGCATGTATATTCTATAGTTAGTTGCATGGATGGATGGATGGATGGATGGATGGATGGGCAACATTTACATGTCTATCTGCCAGCATATCCATATACCTATCTCAAATCAACTCATTTGATTAGCTTCATAACTTTCACCCTTCAACATACAGAGGAAAAACCATCGAAAACAAACACTCCCGTCATCGCCCTCTGACCTCCTCACTCCGCGAATTCGGACGGCGCCTGCCGGCGTTGCTCCGCGTCGGCGGCTTCCAGCGCATGGCGGAGGGCCCACAGCCGCTTCTGCAAGAGACGCCCATCGCCTCTTCAGGTGTCCGGACGGCGTCGGGCGTAGAAAACCGGTGAGCTCTGCTAGGAGCTCAGCTCCGGGAGCTCAGCTTGAATGTTTGATAGTTTGATGTCTGCAAGTCTGCAAGGTACTTCAAGAAAAATCCTTCACCCAGACCGCCACACACCCTGTTCGCCCAAGAATTCGTCATTCTAGGCGACCCAACCCCGCCCAGGCGCCTCCGCCCCTCAACGTCTTTCGATTTCTCCTTGAGTCAGTAGACCACGTCCTTGCATAGCACTGCACTACATGGCCCACTCATCTGCGACTTTTGTCAATCCGGAGTGTGGATTCGGATGGCGCGACCAAAAAAACAAAGAAACAGAAACAAAAAGAAACGGCTTGCCACATGGGAGTGTCTCAAACATTGTTCTACCCACCTAAAATCCAGCAGCAGCATCATGAAAGCTATTGGGGTTCCTTCATAATTCCTTCTTTGAGACAAACCCATCATTCTTAAACAGCTTCCAAGGCTCATGGAGCCGTCTAAATATTATTATTGTTATTATTATTCCCATTATTTCGATTATTATTTGCCTTCTCCTGTCCAAGCGCGAAGAACTGGGAATGGGCACGCTTGTCGGTTTTGGTCAACACGATCACCTTGGAAGACAGGAGAGCGCGCTTGTTCCAAGCAGCAACCAGGGAAACGCTCTGGTGCGCAATAGAACCTGAACAATCCATGTATATGGAATATGTATATACCTAAATTGACCCTTAAAACATCCTAACACCACCCTTTGTGGGCAAATATGTCATACGGGGATTGTTTGGGGAATAGCCTCCTTCACATGGCCCATAGAGTGTTCGACTATTATTGCTCTTCCCAAGGGTCTTCCTATTCTACATGCACCCACATGAGACTGGAACACGACGCAACATCAGCCCTTCGAGTGAAAAGTATTCACCTACAGTAACCAGCTATGCTGCATCGAGCCAGCTATGTTTGCTTGCTCCTCGCCAAGCCGACATCTAGGACCTACAAGTAAACCTAGCAAATTCTTCATGAAGGCTGATCAGGGTTCCAGTGGGCTGGCCCTTTCTACCCCAAAAGTTTATATTCCCATATATTCCCTTATCATTCCTCCTCGCAAATGACTCCCGGCCGAATGTTGTTCACCACTGCACCCACCACCTCTGAATGTCGTGACGTTCGTGTGTGCCCAGGTGTGCAGTCGCATCCATGAGTCTTCTTTTGGAAGCCAAGCGGCCTTCAAGGCGCACACGGAATCCATGATGAGCGACATGATGAAAGGTGGGGGGGAGGGAGCGATGGCGCGGAAGCGCGGAAGCGGCGGGGCCGATGGCACTGAACACGGCTAGGGCCAGGGTCGCGGGGCCGGGCTCCTTCGCGTGGCCAATGCCCAACGATCCACTGGGACTCCTTCAACAAAGTTTATCAACCCAGAAACATCTTCACCAGGTTTGGGGATTCATCCATTAGGGAAAATACTGATCACCTGATCCGCTATGAAAACCAGGTTATCCCTTTCAGAAAGGCACCGACCAGGTACGGTATGGATCCTCCATGTTCACCGACCCGTCGGAAATTTTGTGACGGAGACCAGCGGTCCAATTCGTCCCAAGAGTGTCAATGGAACGTGCATGTTCTGGTCACCGAACATGAAAAGGTTCCACATTGGAGTGGTGCCAGGGGGGTCAATGGATCGGCCAATATGGCAGTCCCAGACAGGCCGTGTCTGGGGTTTCTTTTTTGTTGTGGAGATTGGTTTTCGTCATATTTTCTCAAGGCCATCCTCGTTCCCCCCTACTATGTTACGAAAAAAAACAAAAACAACTCCCACTTATCCAAGGGGTCCCTGTTCTTGGAGCCTCGCAGCTGCACCCTTGTCAAACACTGGTTGCTGACAATATCTGAGACAAAAGCTACACCAATGCCCCTTAAGACTGGACTGTCATCCTACTCAGCCAGACTCAATCGAACATCATCTGCTGAGTACGTATACTTGCGTGGCATCGAACGTGGCATAAGAAAAAATTGCTTTATGGCAAGGACCAGTGACCAGTGAAATACCAACAAAAAGGTGATGAGTCCATGAACAAATCTGACCAAGGTACGGAACTGTTGAACTTCCACCTGAGCAGCGGAGAAAACAAATGACTTCAGGTCGGACCTCAGGACCGGTGGTGCCTTTAACCGGGTGCTGACCGTCCTCATCACCCCTCCCCGGACGGTGATGAGACCTTGGTTCCTTCGAGTTCACGGCGTCCCACTCCATGGGGTGGGTGTATTTACCTATACAGGGGGAGTGGGTGAAAAAGGAACTAGTATGGCTGTTGGTCAAAACCGGGGGACCTTGGTTGGCCACAAATTAACAGAATGGACTACCAGGGAGGTCAACCTACTAGTGTTTAGGGCTCCAGGTTTTGACCCACAGCCACATTACCTTTCACTGAGTCTGTGAGTCTCTGGGGTTGTGAGATGTTGTGAGCTTGGCCGAGTTGTTCAATGCTCCGTCCGCCTGCGTCTGCGTTACCGTGTCTTTGCAAAAACGTGTTCTTTTTCAGCAGCGCTACGTCTTCCCAAAATGGGCACCACACATAGGGTCAATGCACGGCGGAAAGAGTATCTTCACAGGTTTCTGTGCTCTTTTGCACTGTTTTTTTTTTTTCGGTGGTGCAAGGGGGAGACTCTTTTTCAGGGCAAATGATGCAACACACAAGCGCTCCATGCAATATCATTATTATGTAATCATTTATATGTAACCTGCATTGGGGTAATCTAGTGTTAGGATCCTTTTTTGATGGTGGTTTAAACATGTTTTTTCTCGAAAGCGGCTGTAAACGTCGTTCTGGTGGGGGTCCTCTTCTTGTTCAATACATTTCAGAGAGGGTATCTGGGATGTATGAAAATGTGAAGGCCTTTTTACTCTTTGATGATCTTTCGTCGTCTAAGATAGCCATGCTGTGAGGAATTTGATAGGAAAAACACGAGCACAAGCTTTCCAAGTAGTAATGGCGAAGACATGCTTCCAGGAGAAATGGACATCTCATCTGATCACATTTGAGAACTGTGCTAGCGCAAACCTAGCGCAAACGCTGGCGCGGATATAGCGCACAAAAACTTTTCCGGTTTGAGGTAACAGCAACACACATCACAGAGTTCACTTCTGTGTCTTCCCCAGTGTAGTATACTTTGTATACTACTACCCAAAAGCATGTCAGCACACAGCCTAATCTACGTCAGTTGCAGCATTCCCCCGCAAGATGCGCAGGATTTCCTGAACCCAAGCCAAATGAATGATGTTAATATATGTTAATTCACATTTCTTTCCAAGGTTGACTCTCGTAGCTACGGTAGTCTGCACAC